GCAAAAAATAATAAGCCGGATCCAATTCGAAAATTAAGGAACAACGCAATCTGCAACATTAACTGAATTAGATAATTTTAGCTTAGCTTATACCGTCCGTTATACATTAAACGCGCATGCGTAAACGTATTTTGGGCATGCGCACACGCATATTCGCAGCCGTAAAGGTCTTACGTGCATGCATCAACGTGACACATACGCAGAAAGTTTGTAGCTTTGAGGTCCGGATTATGGGTGTCCGAATTAATGACTTTTGACTGTATATGTAGTTTAATTACTGCAATTTTTTATTGTTTATGATAGAAATCATGATGTGCAATGACTAACTTTTGAAATGTAAAGTTTATATTAATAAAAGGAAGTTATTTTGTCTCGTCAAAAACGAATTTTAAAAGGCATCCGATCTGAAGTATTAATACCTAAAACATATATGATTCTACAGTCATTTTGTGTTATTTAGATGTAAAAGATCAGTAATGAAATCATTTTCACTCAAAAAGAGGAGGAAAAAATATATATTCGAAAAAAAATTCGGAAAATTGTGGTTTCAAGACACGACCACCGCTCGTCAAAGGGTTAATTGGAATGAAATGAAAGACTATAGAAAGCAATTAGTAGAGCTTCTACATTTTGTTTAGTTTAAATTTACTATTATTATACAATGTATAATTTATCAATTTGCAGAGTGCGTGTATATAAAAAGATGCTGCAAGACCCATTGCATAAATTTACAAATAAATATATAAGTAAATATATTGTTATACTTATTTAAAATGGTCATAATAGCAAACCTCTTTTAAATTAATATTGCTGTGACTTTATATCTTCAACATCATAATAAAAAAATTTGTGTGCATTTTTAAAAGCTGACATTTTTATGATGGAAAAATTAGAAAAAAGACTAATTTTACAATGCCAAAATATAATTTTTACAATAAAATCTCTAATAATAAAAGAGTTAATCTCTATATGTACTGTTTTGCACAAAGATGAATTGTACAGTTATGAAATTTGACTCATGTTGTGTGGGTAGTTGAAATATATACTTAAAAGCAATTTTTTCAAAATTCTGTTTAAATTAATTGAATGTAATCTGACCATTGAATTGATCAAAAGATATTACATTTTGCTACTCTCTAGAAATAATTTTCAGACATTTATTGGCAATGATTTCGTTATTCTCCACCCAATCTATGAATATAAATAATAAATATATAAAAATAAAATCTATAGTAAAAAAACTTTGTTACACTTTTTTAATTAAGTGCACTAAAAAGTGAATTTTTTTAAGCAACAACTATAATCTTAACATAATTGTGTTAAAAAAGTCACGAGGAACAATTATAAGAATTATACTAGGGACACTTTCAGAACATTCACTAACAAAATTTCATAGAAGGAAGTCACGATGCAGAAATTATGCATATAAAAATAATTATATTTATTGCTCTTAGTTTTTATTTGACAGTTTTGATTTCAAATTTATCATTCTTAGCAATTCCATGTATTATTTTTTGTAGCATATGACCAAGAACATTTTCATTACTAATTTTTTTTTTTTTACTTCTTGCTTCTGTTTCTTTTGTTTTACTGCAGAAATCTAAAACAGTAGAGATAAAATGTTTTTTTATATCTATTTACAGTACGAAGTCAGAGATCCAGATTTCTTGGTACTTCAGCAATTATGGAATGTTAGATTATCAGTTTAAAGCTAGTAAGATAACATGTAAAAATTATGAAGTTAAAAATCTAAAATAGTGATTTATGACCTTAAGGGAATCAAAATTTATTAAAAAAATTCTCAATACTTATTTGTTTGCTTTATTAAACATTTCCTTCAATGTATGTTGCTTCATTTTTTATGCTTATACTTTAATTCTATAAATAGGCATCATTTCTTATTCAGTTACAAAGTTCCATTGTTCAAGTCCTATAATTTTCATGTGTTGAATTCCTATTAAATTGTAAATCAAAATGTTTTTTCATTCTCAACAGCTTGTTACTTTATTCACTAATGATAGCCAAGTGGTAAAGTCACTGAACACTGATAGTTCTGTCTGGGGTTCGAATCCCAGTAAACGGACTGGCTGCATAGACGTTTCATGGTTTTCCCCATGTGTAACGAGTATATAAGCAGGTTTCCCATAGAAAGTCCACCACGAAGGCATACCTACCCTTAGACATTCAAGTACTTTGTCATAATTAAATAAATGTAGGATCGAATGTCTTCACTATTGATAGCGATATTTATTTAGAAGCATACTACAGGTTTTGTCATCTGTTAGTCGATTGAGACATTATCATTGCAGTGAAAAACTTCTTTTATCATCTTCATTTATTATTTAATTCATTGAACAATTTTGCTTTTTGTTTGCGATATCTATAAATTTGTGGCTATCATCATAAAGTTTAACTAGCACTATTGGCAATGTATCAGGAGACTAGCAACTAAAGACATGTTTCACTAAATTTTGTCTTGCTTTTATAGTTAGCCTAATTGTATTAGTTTATTTATTTATTATACTTACGCTTATTTCCCACACAAGTCTTTATCCCAGTCTGGAATGAATATCCCACATATATTTCAGGTTTTTCCATGGCCATTGCTGAACATTTTGCACCCACTGCAGGTCTGAAATACTGATAATTAGATAGTCTAATTTCTGCTACCATTTATTCACAGAAAGATAGGCTTTAATAAGCTAAATTAAACTATTGGCTCTAGGACACATCACATAGCATATTAATTGCAAATTCTGCTACCAAACACCTTCCTAAATTGGTACTCAGTTATTAATATTAAAAAAAATTTTTTTAGACATTGCTATACGAGTCATTTCTCAAGCTGGCGTGTATTGATAATCATGCTGTGATGAAAGCAATAATAATAATAAATAAATAAACAGTAGGATTCTCCAGGCATCATATATAAATTATTCAGTAGGTGTAATAATAAGTTATTCTTTCTTTAATATGGAGGTGTTTTATATGGAAATATAAAAAAATGCAAGTGCAAAGCCTACATATTAGTAGTTTCTAAAAAAAGAAAAAGGTTGCTGGCGATCCGGATTTTGGACTTTGTACTGCATTGCTTTTTCCAGTCTCTCCTTTGTAGACTTTTCTAGTGCTTTGTATTTTATATGGAAATACTTTTCTTTTTTTCTTCTGTATAAAAAATAGGTATACTGCTAGTAAAATATAAAATAGGCACAATATCACAAAATATGCTTTGGTATTTCAAATGTCCATGAATTTTATAAAATGCCATTTTGAGACGAAAGTACTTTATTCCAACAAAATTTATTACACACTGAGTAACATAAAAGCTTATATTTTTGTCTGTGGTATATAAAAAATGCAATAAATATCAGTTATATAAAATATATAGAAATTTTAACATTGTTACACACATATTGCAGTAATAACATTCTGCAAATTATAATTTGAGGAAATACATTTATAATAGTAACAAGTATCTAGTTCATAAAATTTGTCCTTGCTCTACTTCTTGACATTGCTAAAGCTCTATCTCGTTCATCTGCATCGAAGTACCAAACCGTTATAGCAAACCTTTAAAAAAGCATATTTATGTTATTAACTCAGTTATATTAAAATAATTCATCCAACAAAATATAAAACAGGGATTTCATATTAGATAGAAAAAATTATTAATGGATAAAAATGTAAAAAATATGAAATTTTACAATTTCTGTGATAATTTGATTATTTATGGAATAATTGGCAGCATTTTAGTAATACTAAACATATACAGTACTCTTTAAAAATCATTAAAACATAAATTACTTGGCAATTAATTTAAGATACTAGTCACAGCAATTATTACATATTTAGCAGCTGAAATTACTGTACTTATTATCACCAATTTTTTATTATTTTATTATTATTATTATTATTTCTTTCCACATTTAAGTTGGTATTAAATTTCCCTGCATTTTCTTGTCTAAATGACTTCTTGAGAGAATAATTAAAAAATTTACCATCAAAGGTAATCAAGGAAATTATACATAAATTGTAGTATCTCTTGTATAAGTGGTATGAAAAACCTCAGAATACAGAGCATCACTATAAAATTAGGGGTAGAGGAATAAGTGCATTTAACACTTAGGTAAATGACGTGCCAAGCTAGCGATGGTTATCGCAACTCATTTTTGGTAAGAAGCTGCCAAGCTCGGCAACATTTGGGTCTTATTTCTGTGTAACTGTAACCATGTATGCCTTCCGACAATTTCGAGAAATCGAAACTGCTAGAAATTTCTCCGATGGACGAGAGAAAACTATAAGACCAGAGAGAGCACCAGTTTTCAGTTTATTGAGGAAATTTTTCAAGGACTATATTGTCTTGTCCTCAAGTGAATGTATCAGTTGGGGGGGGGATGTTTTTAATATAAACTGTCACAAAAAATTAATTAAAAGGTATGTATTTTTACCTTCTTTAGCAGTTTAGCAGTGCCATATAAGGTCTGTTTCTACAACTTGTGGCTATGTTAACAAATTTTATTATTATTTACCAAATGTATCGGTAATTCCATACTTCAAGCTATTTTAGGATTATCTTCATATAAAGATTGTTTGAAAACTAATTCTGCAAGAATCATGCAGTAACCAGTGTTTATTATTCTGAGATATATTCCTAAATATCTGCTAAATTTTGTTGCATAGTTACAGCCCCAAAGGTACAACGTAAAGACCATTAAAGATACAGAAATTGATTCTATTGACCTCTGAGGAACATGGCTTTTTGGATTTGCTTATGAAAAACTTACATAGCAGTTATCAGCTAGATTGTATAATTACTTATTTTACTCTTCATTTCCATAAACTCCTATTCATTATGAAGATATTTAGATCATTAAAGAAAATAAGAAACAACAAAAAGACAATAAATTTCATTACTATATAAAAGCAATCATTCTACTCTGAGGATTAAAGGTAATTAATTATTTTGCTTAAGTTAAAAGTTTCAGAAAAACTACCTTGTGGCAAAAGACGGTAACACTTCATGAGGATTCCTTTTATCTGACCAAAAGAAAAGCATTCGATCAAATATTGGTTCAATATTGGCCACCTGAGAATCATGGGCTGCTGGGAACATTCTAAGCAAACCACCATGTTGCTACAAAGAAATGCATAGATTAGATTTAGAATATGATGTGTATTTTTATTTTATTAATGATGTAGATAAATTTTCAATAAAGCCTGTAAAATATTGTATGATGCATATGATAAATAAAAGTCTGTTTTCTGAGGCAAAAATCAAATACAGGTAATCAACTATTTTAAAACAATATCATTATTCATTAAATCTGTAATTAATTTTTACTAGTTTAAATAAATTACAGTACTTGTGTATTTTCTGCCCTGTTTTTACTAATTTTATGATACAAAAATTATGAAAATAATTTAATCTGAAGGATACAGTTAGAGTAAGACCATAGCAAATGCAAAATATCCATAAACAATAGGGAGTACTTATTTAAAAGAAACTTAATTTCAAATAGGAATACACAGTCACATTAACATTACAATACCTAATAAAATATCTTCATTTCTATTTCCCTGCCTCTTTCTTGAATCTCACTCACTATTATTGTAGTCCACTGCTACTTCGTACACCTCAAATCATCCACTGCTGCTGGAACTTCTGTCTGTGTCATCTGCTAGAGTGTGAAAGTTGTCTCATCATCACCATTCAGGCTTCTTCCCACATACAGTGATCTTCAGAATCACCAACAGCATTAGATAACACTGCTTTTTTTAGCTCTTGTTTCATCAGTTGCAGCCCATGTACCCAAAATCCATAAGCAAGTCATTAATAAGACAACTACTATGTGGATCAATCTATTGCAAAATTTAAGGAGCTTGCTTTCTGAACACCTTGAGGAAGTGGAAAATTACATGAATATTAAAAAAATTTTCAAAATCTTGTGTTAAAATACTGGGACGAAAAATATGAAAAGGGTAAAACACACGAGTAACTACAGTATTTGTTAACAAATCTGTAATGATACATATGCATATTCTTTCAAAAAATATCTCTCTAATTCAAAATAAAGTTAACTAATTTAATTTAGGGCAAGCATATGAAGCTTTTTTGCCTAAATTCTGTTTCAGTTTTGACTAAGTGGTTCTTAAGTAACACAAACCAAAGGTCTTATTTTTCTACCACGCAGTTCTGGAAAGAACTTTTAGCCGTGCAGATTTGCAGCATCCCCATGTTACAATATCCATACTTTATTAGAATTCTACTATCATAAAGGCATTTTTATTTTTGCTCAAAATGGCCAGAATCTTGCTTAGCCATTTCTCAAGAATGGCTAATCTCATCAGTCATGTTGTCCCAGGTGCACTATACTTAGAATTATATAACATCAATATTGCACCTGACACCCCACCTTATGCAAGAGTTTATATCCTTGGTTTTAGACCAGAATTCAGCTTCTTCTAGTTATTATAATACACAGGATCGCACTGGCACTTTTATGAATGTTGCTCCCCCCTTCAAGTTAAAAATTTATCTTCATAAAGGTTGCAGACACTTTTAATCTAGTGCACCTTTATAAAGGTGTGCCATGGAGAATAAAGGCTGACTTGTATAAAAGCATCAATAAAAGTGTGTCTAATACTAAGTCTGAAATTCAGACATTCAATATCCAAACCTCCGGATGACTTTCACAAGCCAGAAAGTAAATAAATAAAATAAAGCAATGAAAAAATTCCCCTTTCTTTACAAAGTCAAGGAATGGAGAATAGAACAAAAGGAAGCAGGTGTGCTATATAAATGTGATTTTCCTCCGAACTAACGGCAATTCCTGCATATCACTTTTAAACACCTGCTGGCTCTGGAGTTTTACAATGGCCAATAACAATGTATTCAGTCAGGATCATGCTTTTGGCATTTGAGTGATTACAGGGGAACAACAAGGCTTGGGCTATACATTTTGCCAGCCAGTGCTGAGATCTTTATGGATCTTAAATTCTGGTGCTCTGAACCTCCCTAAATTTCTAAAAATTTTGCTGCCCTTAATTCTACCACTAATTGTTGCTGCAGTGCTCTGAATTCTAAAATTTTTGCTGCCCCTAAATTTTGACATCGGCTGTACCTACTCTGTGGGAATATAGCATTTTTTTTTTTTTTTTTTTCTGACCTAAAAACAATACATAAAGCCCAAATGTCAAAACATCATCTTACCAGATTTAAACTAATAATCTAAAACCTGGAGATTTCCGAAATCACCAAAGTCCTGATCTGATAATTCTGAATCTCGGACTTTTATTGTACATTCTGATAATGAAGTATCCTTACAATATTAGAAACATCCATTCACTCAAGACTGGAATTAAATCATTTTTATCATTTTGTGGTTTATATTTCGCTGGTAAAATGAACTTTGAGAGACCAAATTATCACATGTTTGAATGATTTTGAACTTCTGATTAATTTTGATTACAGCATTCTGTAACCAGTCATTCGTCCTATAATCAATCATTGCCCAATTCTCTTTTCACAGGATATGATATTAAGATTATTTCTTATTTAAATAATGTATTTTAAATATTTTATTCTGGTATAGCTTTTGCAAAGGTGTCTATAAACTTAGCATTTGTTAAATTTAAGTATTATTATTTATTTATCATCCACTGAAAGTATTTAAGCTTTTAAATAGCACTTATTACCTCTTACTGTAACTTGCATTTCTGAAATTTGATCTCAGGGCTGTACTAATCATTAAGCAAAATAGACACATGCTTATTAGGGCATCAAGAAAAGAGGGCAATGTAAAAAGGTACTTAAAGACCAAGAAACAATAGCACCGCAGAAATTTTCCATTGCTGCTTTTACCATGGAACATATGTGCTGTTAAACCAAGATCATAAGAAAAGAAAGGGGTAAAAGTATTAGTATTATAAAATGTATGGAGGGGAATCAAAATCTTTTAAGTGCTTAGGGTTTCTTGAAGTCTTAATTCAGCCTTGTTTTATCCTACCTGATGAATTCAGAATTTTAAAATGATCATCATAATACTGCATTTAATCCCTTAAAGTCTGTCCCTATAATAATATATTAACAAAAACAAAAGGGCATTTAAGAAAGAATTTAATGTGATATAAAAATAGACATACCTTTACATCCCAGTTTTTATTTAAATAATAAATGCAAGTTATGCATCTGCCATCTTTATGAGGGTTGTCAATGTGTTTCTTATAATAAGTACCATCACCAGGATAGCAGGCTATCATAGCCTGTAAAGAGAAGAAATTTTCAGCATTTATAGTTAATGAGTTACTTAGCTAATCACCACATCTAATTAATACATAAATATATGAATCTTTAAGTCAAAGAATATTTTTTTTAGTATAGCTTTGTATAAACATTGAAAAATCAAGGACTTTAGGTACTAACACAACCATTTTGGTGCAGTTTGGTGATTTTTTACAAATGAAAATATAAATGTTACTTACCAGCAGCAAGTTGGAGGTTTTCACGACTTTTTTTTAAAAAAGATGATCAAACTATCGATATTTATTGTAAGTTGGCAAATATTATCAGTATATGAAAAGGAAACATACTTTAGCAATTTAAAACACAGATTTTAATTTTTAAGAAATAAAATTCATTTTCCCCCAAATATTTATGTAATTCTTTTTCTCTATTCTTCTCCCTAAGTATACAACGATCTATTAATTTAGAAGTCTAACAACAAAAATCAGCATTATATTTTCAAATTTTCACAGGACTAGTTTCGATGGTTTTAACGAACCATCATCCTCAGCTGCAAAAAGCGCAAATGAACGAGATAAGACATAGTGATTAGATTAGATAAGATAAGAAAGACTGGACAGGAGTTAAGTTTTCACCCAACATTATTAATCAAGCAGTTAAAAAATTCTCATCTCCAAAAGGCATGCTCTTGTTTTAGGAGATTATAAGAATTCTGTTGTCATTCCCTTCTTTCCATCAATTAGCTATAAAACTGCAGTGCACCTATTTTACAGAAATTTAACTTTCGGGTCATTTATTCTCCCATCAATAAAATTCCGAGTTCCATACTGAAGGACCGCATTCCGGACATGAATTAATGGGGTATTTACAGGATTCCTTGCCAGTGTGGTTTAATTTACATTTGTCAAACTAAGAGAGCCTTAAAATTTCACATTAAGGAAACATAAGGCATATGTTAGAAAAAAGGAAACACAGAAGTCTTCTGTTGCCCAGCATTGTTGTTCCGAAAATCACACTTTCAATTTTTCTGCAGATAAAATTATTCAAAAAAACATCTTCCATTGGTGAATTGGATTTTCTAGAGGCATTTCACATTCAAAAAAATATTTCTGTTCAAGTTAATGACCCTAATTTCAATCCATCTTTGCCTTCAGCCTTTCAGAAAATCATGTTTTAGTTCTCATTTCATCAACAGATGGCACCAGCACTTTTTGCAGCTGAGGATGATGGTTTGGTAAAACCATCAAAACTAGTCCTGTGAAAATTTGAAAATATAATGCTGATTTTTGTTGTTTGACTTCTAAATTAATACTTGTCCTGCGTATTATTGTATCTTAATTATACAATGATCTGTTTTCACATAAAAAATAAAAAAAAAATCAGAGGTATGGCATTGCATTATCTCCAGTAACACTGGCTATCTACCAAATGCTTCTTCTCCTCATTGTTCCCATTAGAGATTTTGTATCCAAATTCAGTGTCCCTGAAGAAATTTTACTGCAGTTTTTTCCATTGCTGGCAAATTCCACAAGTGCATATTTTAAAATTTAAGGCATAAAATATCACGATTTGTTTATAAAAGCTGCTGGAATACAACAAAAAGAGCATATGCAAAAATGGAGATCTTGCTTGTTTAAAATATTGTTATAAGCATGATTGCCAGAAAAATCATTATGCACATGGTTGCCAAAGTTCATTACATTCTGAAAATTTGGCAACTTCTAATAAACTGGTTGCAACAGCATGCAAGTACTGGATTTTAGAATAGAAATTTGCATATTAAATAATTTGAGACCTTACAATTTTATTACTGGCACTTAAAAATCTGCTTTAAATACATTATAAAACTTATTGTATATATAAAAACTGAATTTTGAATATATTATAGAAAATATCACAATATAATAATTATTCATAATTACTGAAAATTATCTTGTATGATGTTAAGTCACAATCTTCACAAAATAGAAAACCTCAAGTTAAAAATTACACTAAAATAATGCTAAAGAAAGGAATATAAATTTAATTATTTTTCTTTTTTCAGCATGAAATATTTCATTAAAATAAGTATTTTATTTTATCAAGTTTAATTTTTATTTATTTATTTATTTTTTAGATATATTAATCAGTATTGGTTTGGTATAGAAAGTGAGCTTGTTACAGAAAATAAAATGGGCTCTACTCTTATACACGACCTAAGATCACCAAATGTGGTGATATGTGTTCTGCGCTGGTTTTTGGCACGATTGCGTGTTGTACTATGGTTTTGGGCATGATGTTGTTTGTATGGCTACCCTTTTGATGTTGAAATTTACTCTTGCTCATTGAATTGTGTCATGCGTGTTTTGAAATGGCCTATGTTGCAATGAGAGACGTGGTGGCAAGATTTCAGTCACGTATTTTAGATTGTGCGCAAAGTAAAATCCTAAATCCTTTTGAACGATTATCTGTGAACCATAGTATGAATTTTGTGGATAGCGAGTCTGACTGTCATATAAATACCATAGAGATTACATGGCAACATGTTAAAGCTATGTTCTGCTGTCTAAAGAAGCGTTTATTATGGTAAGTGCACTTTATTTTGTAGAATGTTATGTTCATTGTTTTTTTACTATGAATTTCTGTTGTTATTGTTGTTTTTTGAATTATTTGTTGATTTGTGCACAATGCCTAGATTGTGCAATTCGTAGATTTTTTTTAAGTTTAAACAGAATGCTGTGTATATGGTATTCTTTGAAATTTATTGTTATGTTAATTTATTTAAGCGAGGTGTGCATAGTTCGTAGATTCCTTTGCTGCCTAGATTGTGCAATTTGTAGATTTTTTTAAGTTAAAACATATCGCTGTGTGCATCGATTATTGTCAAATATTTTTGGTTAGAAACTTTACGTTTTTGCTATCTAAATTTTTTGTTTTTGTTTCGGATTTTTAGCTTAAATTGTGTGTTCAAAACGCGATTTTTGCATGTGCGAAAACTGCATTTTTGGAGACATTTTAGGCTTAAAGTTCAAAATGTAGACAAAAAATTTAGATAGTAATATGGCACCGTGAAAGAAATTTGTTCAGCTTTAAGCTTTTTTTGTAAAATTTGATACCCTTTAGATCATAATTGTTCTTTACTTCATAAATTACAGTTTCATATTTTTAATTGTATAATTTCTGCATGCCATTTTACCAGATTTAAATTGATGATCTATAATCCGAAAAAACCCTAATTCGGAATCACCGAAGTCACAACGAGTACGGACAATTACAGACTTTCTACTGTACTCTTTTTTACAGATTAGTAATTTTTATAGATAATATAATTGATGACTATGAAATGGCTTCCGTAAAGGAGGCTCTGCTGATAAACAAATGTTAATAGGAAAATACCTAATGATTCCATGAGGGTTGAATTATTCAATCATGGCAAAGCACACGAGGACTATGTGCCTAAAGGGAGGGATGCCTTTGTAGAGGACTTTCTAAGGGAAACTGGCTCGTATACACGTTATACATGGGGAAAACCACAATAATGCGGTCGGAATCTTCGTTTTATTATGTCTATTTGTAAGACCACATGCGCTTTTCGTTGCAGGGGGGAGAAGAAGACTGTCGCCAATCGGATACTTTTTGCTGTTGCGAAACCGTTGACCTTGTGCGTTCGTGGGATGGTGTGGTGTGTTGAGTCATGGCAAAGCACACGAGGGCTATCTGCCTAAGGGAAGGGATGCCTTCGTGGAGGACTTTCTAAGGGAAACTGGCTCGTATACACGTTATACATGGGAAAAAACACAATAACACCCATGCAGCCACCCCGTTCGCGGGATTTGAACCTCAAACTGAACTACCAGTGTTCAGCGTCTTTACCACTCGGCCGCTGGTGGGCCCAATTCCATGAGGGAATTTAATATCCTTGAAAAGCTTGTTAAATTTGTTACCATTACCTTAACATGGACCAAACTAAGAGTAGAGATATAGAATAATGTTTCAGAACTAATTCTTCTTACAAATGGTTTAAGATGGAGCAATGCTTTGGCTTGTCTCTTCTTTAATTTAGCTCTTCAAAAAATTATTAATGATTCAAAAATAAATAGTAGGAGAGGTATTTTTAACAAATCAATAAAAATGCTTGCATTTTCGGACGATACTGACATCACTACTAGAACTTCTGAAGCACTCAAATAGCCATTTCCCTCACTGGATGCTGAAAGAGATAAATGCATCAACCAAACAAAAGCTAAATACGTGACATGCAGGAAATCCAAATTTAATCATTCTTTCTTAGAAACTGATAGATATAAGTTTGAAGTTGTTGAGTGTTTCACATATCTTAGCCCTGTAATTAAATTTGTAACAAAGTAACCGTTGCTAATCGATGTTTCTTTGCTTTACAGAAGTATTGGAGATCGAACTTTATCATAGGAACAACTAAGCTGACAGTTTAAAAATGTTTAATTAGACCTGTTTTGACATACAGAACTGGAAATTGGGCTCTGGCTTAAAAGGATGAAATACTTGCAGTCTTTGAGAAAAAGATTTCTAGAAGCATTGTTGAAATTATTCAGATAGATGGCATTTGAAGAAGATGAACCAATACAGAAATCTACAGAATATATGGGTATCCAGACATAAATTTTTATCAGCACCCAAAGATTAAAATGGGCAGATCACATAATCAGAATGCCCAAAAATAGAACTACCAAGAGGAAGAGTGAAACTCAGATGCCTAAACTGTCTGGAAAGGGAATTGTCTAACATAAAGGTCATTAACCGGAAGACAAATTCAACAACAGAACACCCTGGAATGAAATTCTAAGAAGACCAAAGCACATTGTGGGCTGTCAAACTACTGAAGAATATTAATCAGAATACTACTTTTATATACGCCCTCAGGTGTCCAAATATGGCGATATGTGTTTTGCGCTGGTTTTTGGTGTGATTGCATGTTCTGCGATGGTTTTGGGGGCGATGTTCATTTTTATGGCAACCCTTTTTACGTGGGAACATGAATTTAACTGTAGTGGTTTTAGTTGCT